ATTAATTACCATGGGGTCCCTGTCTTCATATATATTTATAAAATGAGTCCCGAACTCACACTTTTAACCTTCGGCTTCTAAAAATGTGGCAATTAACTCCTCAAACCCAACACCCTGCATATATAATTATTTATTTTAGGCTACCATTCGTTCATTAATTTATTTATTTAACTAATAAATAAACGGGTGTTACATTTTGAGCATTCAAATCTTTACTATGGCATTCGATTCAGCTTTCAATACAAGCGGCCACATACTTGATCCTTACTGAACAAACTTGGTTGCACTAGTAGAGGTCTTGGTTTGCATGCAGGTAAGAAAATCAAGGAATCTAATTACTATTGCAAACATCGAAAACATTTTTAAAGATGATAACGTCGATAATGTAACAAATTCATTTTATTATTTATTAACAAAACGTTGGTTATATACTCACTTTCACATTACGTTTTTTCCAAAATATATTAGAGTTAGAAGACGTGATACACAATCGAAATGGAAATGGGAAAAAGTAGATAGTGATTATCAAGTAGTTAGGTTTTATTTGTTTTTTAGTAAATAATTATTGTTTTGTAAATTATATTTCTTTTGAACTTGGCATGGAATCAAATTTACAAGGTAAATGATATTTCTTTTGAACTTGGAATAGGAATGCACACATAACTTTTGGAATATAAATTCACATAAATATTGGCATTGTCAACCACAAACAATTGTTATCCAAATCCACAAATAAGCATATTCCGTTTCTAGGTTTTACGGATCCGGTGTAATTGGGTCAGGTCTGAACCCATTTACATCCCTAGTTAATACTTCCATGGTTGACAATAATTGTTTGTCAATAGAAATGTACGTAGCTATTGGCATTGTCAAACACATAACAATTATATATTATAGAAAAATAGATAAACCCCAATGAATATGTATGCTCATTATGAACTTGATGAAACCTTACGAAGGATAAGTTGATGAAGCATTTGTAATATATTACTTACTAGATCGTTATGAAGCATGCGGTTTGATGTGAGATGATGATATGAAATCACACACATCATGGTTACAAAGGTGCTACTTTTGAAATGACACCAAGTTTTAGTATGCGTAGAATATTTTATAGTAAATAACGTTTTGATAACTGAAAAACAAAAAAAGAGTATTTTGTATTCATTTTTGAGGTGTTACAATTTTTGCTGACATGGATACGACCATGTACAACTTATACTGACGTGGATATGATATGGAATTTTTTTCTTTCTAATATACATTCAATAATTGATAAATTTTAATGCATAAATTGTATATGTTTTGTTATTATTATTTTATTTTCTGTCCCATCCCTTTCTTTGAACATCGACACTCCACACCCCTGCCCATATGAGGTGCTTGCTACCCACAGGCACACAACACAACCTCCATCCCCCTCTACTACCCCTTGTCCAAAAAAAGTTTAAAGATGGAAATATATAAAATAACCATGTCATTACTAATCGAATTTTCACATGAAATAAAAAAATATATATATTGAGAAATTAAAATATACATTTTGGATAATTTTTTATTTTTAATCCGTTTTGAAAATTAAAAGAAGTTACCAATACCCAATATTCCGATACAACAATTAAAAAAAACGTGTTATTTAGTTGAAAAATCAGTCATAGACCTCATATTATAGTAACGAATATACTTTCACAAACCATGTTCTAATTTTTGAATATACACAAACTTTATTCATTTACAAATATACCCTCAGCAACCAAAAGTTGAATATTAAAGAATGAAAGGTCCACTCATCCACACATGTTAAGACATTTACCTCTGGTAACCTGGAGCTGGATACCCCGGTGGAGGATAGGCGGCAGGTGGAGGAGGTCCACCGTAAGGTGGTGGTTGCCCGTGTCCAACATTGGGCGGATATGGCTGGTCAAACCTTGACATTTGTTGGGCAGGTGGAACTGCCATTGGTTGTGGTCCAAACTTTCCATCTCTTTTATCCATTTCAACTTTGTGTTGTGTCTGCATAATTAAGAACATAATCCGATGTTTATTATTATTATTATTTATCTCATGAGTCAAAAAATTTCAAATTGAATATATTTCATGTATACCTGCATGCACGCACAAACCCTACAAGATGAAATTAGAAAAGATTAGTAAAAGAAGCTTCATAGCTTTTTTAAAAAGCTATCTGAGATAGCTTATTGATAAGCTGACTTTTCAGCTAGATGGAAAGAGGTGAAACAACTCACGTGCAGTAAACCATGTCAGCTAAGCAATTGAGCGCCTGAGATGCATCACTAAGTTCTTCATTTCCAACAAGGCAAGCAACAATGGAGCATATGCATGCGAGTTGTTGAAGGCAAAACATGAAACCCTTTACAAATAATCAATCAATGAAAAGTTTTGAGTAAATAGTGAGTAAAGTTAAAGACAAAAAGGAGTTTGATTGAAGATATTACAATGATGCAGTTATCACATTGAGTTGTTTGTATGTTGAATTCATCTTGCAACAAAAAGCGAGTTGAGGCTACTGAATTCCCAAAGCATAAGAAGACCTGAAAATTTGGAGAAGATGATTAAGAAGGTTAATTAGTATGGAGAGATGTTTGATTAATGAGGTTTTAGGGATATGGATTAATGGATAATATTAATACCTCTGTGCAAAGGCATAATTCAGGACATTTACTTTCTCCACACTTTCCACTGCAGGGCATGTATCCAGCACAGCATGTGTATCTTGACATATCATTGTAGAGAGCTCTCTTACGAAGCAAGTATGATACACATGGTCCACTAATGAACAATAGAAAGGTAATTACTAATTAGTAAGAAACAAGATGGAAAAATTCACCAAATCATCTGAATGAAGATAAGGATTAAGAAGTAGGAAGTAAAAGAACAAATTGTCCATGTTCTAAACTGATTCAAACGATCAATCATCCATGTTCTAGTGAAGAGAAGCTGTTATTATCTGATATTCTGCTCATGTATAATCAGAACAAAATTCTATAGATTATACCAAATTAGAAGTAGAAAAGACCTAATATCATCGAACGAAATTCAATTGATGAAACATTAATCAATGAATGTTGAGTCTACGTACGTAAAATTGAAAAAACGAAGTGCAGAAGGCGAAATATAGAAGAAAGAAACAGATACAGCTGCTAATAGATTTATCAAGTGAGGATCTTACCAGAAGAGCGAAAAGCAGCAATCTACATAAAAACACCACAGAAACAGAGCAAGGAAATTAAAATCGAATTATGAAATTAAGCAGAAAATCGTTAGGTTTTGTAATCAAAATATGAGCGATAGATTTCTTCTAATGATATTTGTTTACAACTTACAAGGAGTATCGGCAGCGATGGTGCTCATGAGATCAGTGTGCCAAACGTTCCTGTAGTTCTGACGTAGCTGCATCTTGTCCAACTGCGCTTGAGAAGCCGCCATTGTCGACTTTCAAGAGTAAATCAAGCTTCGAACCAGCGAGTTTCAATCGAATTGCTGAAGCAGAAACTTTGGATTTGAAGTTTAGGGTTTGATCGAGGAATGAATGTGAATATGAATGTTGAAGGAAGCAATGCGTAAAATTCAAAACTTGTCACCTAAGGAAAAGCACTAGAAAGAAAAAAAAGTTCAAAGTTGACGACTTTTAAGCTACACTAATTCCAAGGAAATAAAAGTTGGGTGTCTTTAAATTGACTGCATTTTATTTAAATCTGAATTTATAATATGCTTTTAAAAGTACGGATGAGCATAACCGGATACCCGCCTATTTTAGCTGGAACCGGAACCGCTCCCAAAACCGGCGGTTCTTAAGTTTTAGGTATTGGAACCGGAACCGCCTACTTCGGTTCCTAGAAAACTGGAACCGCTCCCGGAACCGGTTCCGGTTCCGGATACCCGGCTTTTTGAGTATTAAAACTTGTTATTTTATACATGTCACGTAAATTATGTAAATTAACCTATACAAATAATATAAGTACAAGATATAAAACCAAAACATTTACAAAAATTTGATCTTTTAAATAAGAAGCTATTAAAA